TCTTTCCCTGTGCTTCGTCACTTTCTCGGAAGATTCCAATTTTTCCTCTCAATCGGATAAAAGAAGGATAAAATTGGAATTTAAAATAAAAATAAAAATAAAATTGAAAATGTGCCGCGTGTCCGGAGGGACGAGTGAAATTACGAGTTTACCATTACCAATTGCAGAAACTTTTCGTTAATGAGAGTATGAGACACATCACACATGGGGCTGCTTCACCGCCCAAGGTATGGTACCTGACATACTACGGGTAGAACATTTGTAATAAAGTTTCAACCACCGTAAATATCATACATTAACCGTCCAATAATATATATATATATATATAACATATTCTAACCAAATTTCATTTAATATTTAATTTTGATTTAACATTTGATTGGTTATAATTTTTAAAAATTAAACCAATTAAAGTATATATGTATATGATATTTTTATAAATTCGGAGATACAAAATTGTTCGCTAAAACATCTAAACTAAACATCTAACCGTTATATACCATACGGAAAAAATCATATTTTAAAACTTTTTACGGACTTTAGTTCTCTTGAATCAATATCGAAAGAAAAAATTAGGTGCGGACGTTTCAGGATTCGGTTCGAAATTTTAGCAGCTCGGTTCGAAAACGGTTTATTCGATATTCTAAAATTTGTACCAAATTAATACCGTATATTATTCGGTTCGATTCAGTTACGGTTTCTGTATGGTTCGGTTTCGGTTTTTGTTAAAAAAATTTAGATTTTTTTAAGAAAATTTTGGTTTTTAGAGAATTTTATAAAATTCGGTTATGAAAAATTCGCTCTTTTATAAAAAAATATACCGTTTAAGAATTTTAAATGGTACCGTTCGTAAAAAATAACGAGATTTTTAGTTCGTTACAATTCGATTCTTTGGAACCGAATCAAAACGTCCGCCTTAAAAAAAACACAATATTCGGGACAGTTTTGAAACATCCAACTCGAACTTTGAATAAGCCAACCCGGTTGGTATGTATGCATGCATGCATGCATGTATGTATGCGTGTGTATGTGCATCGACGTATTAATCATCAAATCGTCATACGAACGTAAGACCGAAAGACTTTATCATCATCGTTATTATTTTCATTACTAAAATATTACTGAGTGTTCACTCGTTAGATTCGTCAAAGTGAATCAGTTCAGATCGCAAACAGAGCTCCACATCGTCTGAAATGGCATTGACCCTTTTGGTCAACCTTTTCCACTCCACAATTCCCACGCGTTGACTTTTTCGTCTCTCTCTTTCGGTTCGTGATTATGTAATAATTGTTCCATGTATATAAGTGTAATAACTTCTAATATATTCCTTTTTCTCTTATGATTGGAATTGTATTTTGATTTGCTCCCAAATATTTACATGCCACGAAACAATAATTCTAAATATAAGAATTCCCATGATTTTAGATAATACATTTTATACAGAAAATCAATTAACGGGACTAACCCTTTTTAATTTATTTTGTGTAACAAAATTTACTTCCATGGAATTCACCGTCACTTTTGTTATTGCGATGTATGTACATTTACTCATGATGGCATTAGATATTGGGTGGGTCGAAAACGATTAACGTAGAAGAGGGGGGTAATTAGTTGGTTCATTCACATGTTAGATTTGACTAGTTCGTCAAATTAAGCAACTTTTGCAATATTTATGTTATTCGCTTAATGGGTTTTATACTCAATCTTTGAATCTCGTGACAGCAATTCATATAAAAATATAATTTATTTTAAAAAAGAGATAGGGGAAAGAGAATAAAAAAATCTTATTTGGGCAGCGTTTTCACCATTTTCACTTCCTATAAATACCCAATATCCATATGCCCTAAATGAACCATCACAAACCATAACAAACACTAATATTCACTCCCCAAATCAAATCAATCCAATAAAGCACATAAGCAATGTCTGCTTCTGGTGCACAAAAGCTTGTCTTGGTCCTCTTGACCATCGCCTATATCTTCTCCGCATGTGCCGAGGCCAACAGAGGCTGGGGCTGGGGCTGGGGCTCGAATCAAACCGGCTCCAGCTGGGGCTGGGGTTGGGGGTCGAACCACTCCGGCGGTGGGGCTGATTCTGGCGCGGGCTGGGGTCCAGGCTCTAACCAGACCGGCTCGAACTGGGGCTGGGGCTGGGGCTGGGGCTCCAACCACTCTTCTGGCTCGGGCTCCGGCTGGGGTCGGGGTTGGTGGGGCTCACAGAACCGCACTAGCGGTGCCGCCGATAAGCCGAGAAAGATTGTCGTGGGCGGCTCAGCCGGGTGGCAGTACGGGTTCAACTACGCCGAGTGGGCGTCCAAGAACGCCCCTTTCTACGTCGACGACATTCTTGGCGAGTCTCCTCGATATCAAACTCTGTCTTTTTAAATTTCAGCTTCTCTTTCTATGAGATTTTCAATATCGGAAACATTGACAATATCTTGTGTGACAGTTTTCAAGTACGACCCACCGGCTCCATTCACACACAGCGTGTACTTGCTCCCGGACTTGTGGAGTTACATGAGGTGCGACGTGAAGAGAGGGAAAATGATAGCGAAGCCATCGCAGGGATCGGGCCAGGGGTTCGAGTTCGTCCTCGAGAAGTGGCAGCCTTACTACTTCGCCTGCGGTGAACACGACGGCGCTCACTGCAACAACGGTACCATGAAGTTCACCGTCGTCCCAATGCTCCGCCGTTGGTAAATCATATAAGAGAGATGACCATATATATACATATATATGGTCATCTTCTCGAATGATTCAATCGTCCAAATCTATTACCAGACACGCAAGTCTTCATCATCGTGAAATTTAGTTGTCTTTAATCTGTCAACAAACATGTCTCCCTTTACCATTTATATGTGTTTTACGAATTCAGATTTTGTTTGTGTTCTTTTTCTTTTTTTCTTTTTTTCCCTATGTATTCTGATATTGGAAATGATGGATTGATGAGATTTTATACGAATAAAGAATAAAATTCTTGACGATTATCACAAACAATCTTTTTTCCTAATATATAAGCATCCATATTCATATATGTATCATGTCATTATTATTTATTCGATTATAATATTTTTGTAACATATATTTGTTAGAATAATCTTCTTTTTATACATATATTTCGTTTATAAGTTATAATATTGGAATTTAATGCATCACTATCTCAGATATTTTTCAATTTGATGATCGACGTGTCTCCGTCGGTTTGTTATATATATGTGTGCGTGTTGATATGTATAAGAATTTGTTGACGTGTAGTGGTTTCAGGCCTCGTTTTTGCGCAAGCCCAACTCCCTTGGGCCTTCAAGTTTGCAGTAGCCCAGCCCACCCAACCAAAACCAAAGCCCTAATTCTTGTTTGTCAGGGAGAAACGCTTGGTCGTCTCTCTCGTGAGTCTCCTCCCTCTTGCCTCCAGAAATGAAACCCTAAATCCTCAAATCCTCATGCAATGTCGATGTATGTGTCTCTTGTGAAACACAGGAACCCTAATCCCGTTATATGTGATTTACTCTTGTCGACAATAACACCACGACTGCGAAACGATGCCAAGAAATGGATTCGGCTTCGGCTTTCACCGAAGCGACCCCCACCAACTGCGACGAAGAATAGTCTGCACGTGCACGGAAGCGAGGAAAGAAGCAGTAGATTCTGAGAAAGATAAGTAACCCTAACTCTAATCCCAAATTTGATTTCAATCTTGATTCAGTACTATTTCTAGGATTCTGTTTTAGGTTTGTTCTCTGGTTATTGATTCTAGGCTTAGTTTGATCGAGTTTGGGTACAGAACGAAACACCACGCACACTAACACTCTTTACACAGTGATATACGAGTTCGGATTCCCGGTGTTAGAACCCTAGATCAAATTCACCAGATTATAGTCGTTTACAACCAATTCAACAGAGTGAGCATAGAGTCTAGATACTTAGCTTGAATATTTCCCTAGAACTCTGTCTTGTTCCCAATCGCAGAGCACTACCGTCTAATCCCTTGGGATCGGAACTAACCCTTTACTTCCTTTGCCGTTTGCAGCCACAAGAGGAGCCCTTTCTGTGTATTTTCACCGTGAAGAACTTTCTGGACGTGTATCTACCTTGGTTTAAAAAAGCGCTGAGGCGGCTCAAGGCGCGAGAGGTCTAAAAAACCGAGGCGCAAAGCGTAAGGCGAAGGCGCACGCCTCACGTATACGAGACGCGTAAATAAAAAATTAGTAAGAATAAATTTTAAATATACTGTAAATATAAAATTTAATTACCAAATTATCTAAAATAAGTCCAAGTAATGACTTGCTTTATGTCAAATATAATCGAGATTTGAAACGGCGACACAATATGAATGACACCAAGGATCCTATTATGTTGGAACATATTGATGAAAGTAATGAATGACTAATTGGTAGAATAGAAGGTAGCTCAGATGAAGACAATGATTTTGTGTTTAGTGGTGATGATGGCCTCACGTGGGGTCAAGTTGGTAGAGTTGCTGGAGCCCATGATCTTAGTTATCATACTAGAGGATCAACAAGTGCAAAAAATAGTACTACTTCTTCCTCGTCAATTCATAAAGGAAAGGGTATTGCTTATTCCGATGAGCATGAAGAAGATATCGGGGAAGACAAAGATTATGAAGATGATGGAGAATACGAAGATGTCGATTTTGATTAAATGTTTCACAAATAAATATTTGCATTTTCTCTTTGTTTATTTTACTTGGACTTATTTTAGATAATTTGGTAATTGAATTTTATATTTAAAATTTATTCTTGTTAATTTTTCATTTACGCGTCTCGCATGCGTGAGGCGTGCGCCTTGCGCTTTGCGCCTCGGTTTTTTAGACCTTTTCTGTCTTGAGCCACCTCGCGCTTTTTTAAACCAAGGATAGAGGAGAAGCAGGAAACCCTAATCAAACCGATTAAGACGTAACTAGTGGATAATATTTTGATTATTCAGTATGATAGATTCTTCTGGATATTTTTTGTATTTATCGTTTTTTTTTTCTATTGTTATAGATCAATCTTTATCTCTAACAAGTAGAATAATATGCAATAGGAGGGTGTTCTTATGTGGTTCAATCTCCTTCCGATTTAGTCGCGAGAAAACAAAACAAAACAAAATTAATTTACTATGCATTCATACTAATATTTTATATATACATAAATGAACATTAGAATTAATTTACTATGTTTGTAGGCTTCTAGTTCTTAATAATTTAAAATTCAATTCAAATTAATCGATTAATGGTTTTTTTTTCCACGGATAATAAAGAATAAAGATAATGTTTTGAAAAAACGTATATTATTTAGTTTTTGGATAGAATAAGGTATACGTAAATTCAGGGAAAAAAAAAGAAATTTGGGTATGACTCTAACATTGTACCTCGTGAATTATCAAATTAAATATTTTCATGGACAAAAAAAAATATATTTTTTTTTCACTAGAAGGACTAATTTGAGAAGGATTATGATACCATCTCTCGGCTTCTATCTATATAAACCCCATCCCCTAACCCCAAAGAACCCATTGGATTTAAAACGAAAACAAAAGACTAATTACTTCTCAGATCATCATTCAGGCGAAGCAATGGCAATCTCTCGTAAACAAAAGCTCGTGTTGGCCCTCTTGGCTGTTGGCTATGTCTTTGCCATGAGTGCAGAAGCCAGCGGAGGTTGGGGATGGGGATGGGGTTCGAACTCTAGTTCGGGTTCGGGTTCAAGTCACACCGGGGATTCGGACTCTGGTCCTGGTTGGGGCTGGGGTTGGGGATCAGACTCCGGAGGTTCAGGCTCTGGCTCTAGTTGGGGTTGGGGTTGGGGCTCGAGCGACGGATCTGGGGGTTCAGGCTCCAGTTCTGGTTCGAATTCAGGGTCGAGCCACAACGGGGATTCTGACTCTGGTCCTGGATGGGGTTGGGGCTGGGGCTCTAGCAATGGATCGTGGGGTTCAGGCTCCAGCTCTGGTTCAGGTGGTTCAGACTCGAGCCACCACAGCGGAGATTCTGACTCTGGACCTGGATGGGGGTGGGGTTGGGGCTCAGACTCCGGCTCGAGTTGGGGCTGGGGTTGGGGCTCTAGTAATGGCTCAGGAGGTTCAGACAATGACGGACCGAGAAGGATCATGGTGGGCGGCTCTTCAGGCTGGAAATTAGGGTTTAACTACACCACATGGGCTTTGAAGAACGCTCCTTTCTACGTCAACGACGTTCTCGGCAAGTCTTTTTCTCTCTTTAATTCACACATATTTCCTTTCTTCTTCACATGAGAATCGCTCGACCAAAAACTCGTGACATACCAAACACACTTTCGATCTCGAATATTCAAATCCTTTTATATCCGACTAGGGTTTTAACGTACGTACGTGCTTGCATGCATGCGTGCAGTTTTCAAGAACGTGGAGCAGGAGGATAAGCACGAGAAGAGCCACGACGTGTACGTGCTCCCAGACCACAGGAGCTACAGGAGGTGCGACCTCGCGAGAGGGAAGAAGATAGGGAAGGCGTCGAAATCGAAGGGGGTGGAGTTCGTACTGGAGCATCATCACCCGTACTACTTCGCGTGCGGCGAACACGGCGGCCGACATTGCATCCACGGTGACATGAAGTTCACCGTTGTTTTTTTTTTTTTTTTTTTTTAGTTTGGTTTTTCTTTTTATTTTTAAATTTTCTTAATTTTCATCGTTTTGTTGTTTTTTTTTTCTTAATAAGCTTTGGTTTTTATGAACCTAGTGGTTTTCAAGGAATAAAGTTACACATTCGCAGCCTATTTTCTTATGATAGATAACATACGCTTCAATGTCATACTCGTCTCACATCTTTTTTTTCCCCCTTAATAATACACAAATTTGTATTTGCACTACACGATCTTGGAATTCGAAACATTTTGAAATTGCTATATTGATTGAAAACAATACATTTTATATTGTGAATTATGAAGAGATTAAGTGTGTAATTTAGATATTAATATATTTCATATTTATATTAAATTTATCTATTTCTTATCACATTATGATAAACATCAGGAATCTTATCTAAACAATTACTTTATATATATATATATATATTATCAATAATACACTATACATTGTTCCATAAACTTTGACATATAAGTGTCACGTTGGAATCGATAAAATTGTACCTCATTTAGCGAAAATATCAATGATATAATATATTTCACACACAAAAAAAGATACCATATTCCATAAGAGATAATATCCAAAATACCTTTTATTTTGTTAAAATTAATTTTCACATATCTTCTCCAGATATAAACATATATTAGTCACACTAATTATAACGTTTAAATTTATTTTGAATACATCAATTCACCATTATCATATTTTATATACCATACTCTACGTCCCAACGCACTTCATCAATAATTTTATTTAGTTTAAAGTTAAATAATTCGGCATT